AAAAAAAAAAAAAAAAAAATGGATCCTTCATGTTTTCAATGAGTTCCAAAAAAGACCAGGAAAGGACATGTAGTGAAGTGTACATAGAGTAAATACAAGACGACTTTTCCTTGTATTGTTGACATTTAAATATTTTAAAGTGTATTGGCTGAATAACATAAGTAAATTCTGAATGAAACAGGAAGCATAATTTCTGAGATCCTTTTATTTTTTAAAGGATTGTTTTAAAATTGTAAACTACAAAACAGATGCCATTCTGCCATAAATAAAAACAAACAATAAGGCAGGACTCTACATAAGCAAACCGAGAACGTTTTCAGAAAATGTGATAAAATGCTTTACAATCATAAGCCATCCAGTTTTTAAAATAAAACTGTTGAAAACTCACAAGTCTTCAAGCGGCACATACAAGACACCCTTGAAGAGGGAACAAAATGTGGTTCTGCCATTTTGTGCTGTTGTCACATTTTTGAAAACCTAATTTTGCTTAGAGCACAGGTCTGTTCCATATTCTAAAATTCACACAGGTTCGTTTTTTTTTACCAAGAACCATATGATAGAGGCACCAATGACAATACAACTTTGTTTCCAAGAACCTTGTAACAAAGCATTGTCTCTTTTAAACATATGACTTAGGCAAAAAGGGAATCCTGGATAAGTCTTTCAGAGGCAGGTTTTGAGCCTGCTTCACCGAATGCGCTTCTGCTGCCGCGCTCGGTAAATGTCATGAACAGGAGGGACAACAGCTCCCTTGTCTTCATCCTCGTCTGAATCCTCATTGGGCCTTTTGACAGCCTTGGTGAGCACTGCGTTACTTTCCACCGGGCCGTTGCCTTCTACAGCGAGCTCCGCGGCTCCGCCAGTGATGAGCCTCACGGCTTCCTCAACGGCTACAGCAACAAAGCAGAAGGGATTGCGGGCCGATGTTTCAAATTATGCTACCATGTAAGGCTGTGTATGTACTACATCAGATACATTATACTTAATTTCACAGGCTTCTAGTAACAAAGCATGCAACAGTACTACTGAACGAAATACAGGGAAAGATGAAAGCTGCTGTCATAATTATTTTCATAAGCCAAGTCTAATAGTGCATGTTCCCATGACTAGAAAAGATTAGCCTTTAGGACATTTTGCTTAGTGTAATTAGAATATGAGCAAACCTCTCTGTAACAAAGAGGGTTTAGATCACCCTGGGTTTCACTGTACTTCTCTGCAAGGTTTTAGAAACCTCAGTAGCAAAGAATAATAATCCCTCCTGCCTAAGAGAACTGAATTTCCACCCTAAAAATGGAGCTTTCGTCACTTACTATTAGGTATCTTGCATCTTCGGAAAATTTCCATCAATTCATCCACTTGAACAAAAGGACCCTATTTTGACACAAATAAGTTTTAATCCCCAAACTGACAGGTTAAAATAGCACCACTTTGTACTCCCCATGATGCAAGAGAAGCAGCACACAACTACTGTCACACACACAGCGATTATCTATCGTGAAAATAAGTGAGCAAACCTGGAAGCAGATAGGAGGAGGAAGAAGTTTCATTAGCACAACTGCTGCGGGTGGTACTGGGAATACCCCACCAGGGACAGGATGTAAGCCTGGAGCTGTAAGAAAGGAAAGTAGGAATCAAATGGGATGGAAGAATTTCTATGTATGTCAGAGCAAAAATAAATATATTGTACATAAAGATGTTCTATGTCTATGTTGCTTGGTTCTGGACATTTTAAATTGCTTTTAAAGTTTTTACATGTTTGACCAAACTCAAGTGGGTGACACACGGAGAGTAGTCTCCACCCCACTGGCCACTAGGCGGCAGAAAAGTAAACAAGTGACTTTCATAAGAAAACCCAGGGGCTGGACTAAAGTCAGTTTGTCAAAAACCATTTCTAAGCCTCACAAGTCATTTGTTTTCAGCAATCCTGTTAAAAGTCAGTTCTTTAACAACATACTTAACCATAAGGGCCTTGTTCAAATAGGATCTAGGGTGCTACTACCCATTAATAAGTGTAAATAATACCAAATAGCATTACTGAAATGAGCTTCCAGTTGTATACGTAATCTAGACACAGCAGCATTTCTGAAAATGAAGTATCACTGCCAAAATGGGTTCCTGAAATCCCATCACTGGGGTTTCTTTTTATTGTTAAAGACATTCCTAACTCATCTTGGTTCCAAGATTACAGTCAACTTCCTTGTCACTGTGACTGACCCCTGGTCTAATAATTAACCTATAGCGGAAAGGTCACATTACTTCCCCCGACACACCTCTAGATTTAAATCAACAAATTGAGGTCTCAGTACTGGATCTAAAGTCATGGCTTACGTGCTAAATGTCGTGGCTGAAATGGAATCATCTGCTGAGTGTCTGGTTTGGGGTACTCTGGTTTTCTATCCACTTCATCTTTCAGAACAGGCACTATAGAAGGAGCTACAACTGGGTCTGGAATTATAGCTGCTAGCTTAGCACGGGAGACATCCTGAAAATGCAGAACAGAAGAATCCTAAACCTGAAAAAGGGACTTACAGAATATAACTCTGCAATTCTATAATCTTGACGATAACACTGAGTAATTGGGTTAAAACCACAGAGAGAATGGAGAGGGGTAAGCAGGAACTCAGTGATGGTAAGATTGTTAAATACTCAATAAGGAAAGCCAAAAGGCTCTGAAGAGTTGGTGTTTTATAACCTTACCCCAACCCCAGTTAAGAATCAATGTTGCCAGGGAGGACATATGAAGGATAGATCCAAGCTTTTGTGGGCAAATACTTGAGACTGGGTACCAGGCAGAGAGTGGGGTAATTTCCAAGAAAATTTGCAATTTAGGTAAGTTTCTGACATCTCCTACTGGAATTGAACAATATCTATATTAGTTTCTGTAAGTGAAGCTGGGTTAAGTGACCGCTTCTTGAAAGCTAAAATAAAGTTTAAAAATCACTTGCGCTGGTTAATAAGATTTTGTTAATGAAAAATTATTCCCAGCCTACTGTTACAGGGGAAAAGGAACGTTTGAACAACCACTATTTGTCAGTTTTAGCCATTTATTCCCTTTGTGATGAGGCAAATAGTAACCTCTCCATTTTGTAGAAGGGATGAAGCTCAGACCGGTTCTGGTATTTCCGAGGTCATGCAGCTAAGAAGTAGGAGACTGGCAGCGCAGCCTCTCTGAGCGCAGGCCCAGCCACAGTCGGCTGTGCAGTGTGTTAGCGACTGAGAACAGCTCTCCAGACACGTCAGAGGGCGCAGGGCAGCCAGCTGCCAGCGGAGGCGCTACCCCAGGGAGGCTCCCCTGCTGCTGGCACCTGGGGCCGATCTGCCATCTGTCTTTTGATGGTGGCAAGAGAGCCCCTTTACCCACCATCAAAAGATATAAGAGCATTGCTTCGCTCTCTCTAAATTTGTTCATATGCAGACGGTGACATCCAAAGGCAGTAGGCCCACTGGGAACTGCTTTTTTCTCTTTCCCTTTCACACGTGTTACACAAACAGAAGCAAATTAATTCTTACCAAATAAACAAGTAGGAACAGAAATACAAAATGGAAAATCAATATTCAAGAACTAGTTATACTTGAAAATCTTTATTTTCATTAACTAATTTCCATTTTCATCTTGGCAAAGTTGAAACAGCTTTTTCTAATAGTTCTACATAGTAGTTTTAATATGTCTTTGACTTTTCATTAAAAAGTAATTAAACCAGAAGCACAACTTAATCACCCCTGAGCAGTCACGCCTTAGTTGTAGGAATCTGGGACTGGCAGACTTGGGGCTTCTATTAACGAAAAGGTCTGAAGCTAAATTATGGGTATTTTGTCAAACATTTTAATCTGGTTCAGACACCAGACTAGTGAGACCCAGACCAAAACTGGCCTGTGAGGAAACAGTGGATCAGGTCAGGATCATCTTAATGCTGCTTAGCTTAACGGAAGCAGTCTAGGCCTCTGATGGCTATAGCATCCCTCTGGGATTTCCATTTTGGTATTTGCTCTCATGACCCAGAAAGATCAAGAAGTGATAGAATAATGGTTTTCTCAGCAAGAGCTATTTCTGGGGCTGCATAAACATTCATCTTTCCCCTTGGCTTGAACAGGTTCAAGTGCCAGATTAGTTTCCTTATGACTCTCTAGTTTATGTAAAGGAGCTCTGTAACTGATTAGCTCATTTCCTCAAGAGCCCCACTACAGGACTAATGTTTTGAGATACAAATCCCTCCAGGAACTTTATGGGTTTAACAAGCTGTAATATTTCTTCACTACACCTAGAAAATATGTAACTGGAGCTACATTTCGTTTAAAATCTGTCAAAACACATTCATCAGTTTTAAGAACTATTAGAAAAAAATATACCTAAAATGACATCCAAATTTTCTTTTGTTTTCCTTCTGCCCACCAGACATAAGATATAAAGCACTGACAATTTCAGGGAAATAATGAAAATGTTAAATCTTATTTTAATTTTGTTTGATACTTTTGGTACTCAGTATTTCATAAACCCAAGGAAAATCCCTGACCTTTTTTCTTGTTTTCTGCAAATGTATTCTAAAGCTAGATGAACTTGTATTTCAAAATTTACTTTCAACTTTATTCATAAACTATTGTAAAACATTGGAAAAGTACGGGTACTATACACATCTTGGTCCTAAGTACATACCTTATAACCAAGTGCTTTTAGTTCACTTGCAGAGCAAGGATATAAATCCATGAACTTGTATCTATCTACCAATAAAGCTGTTTCTTTGCCTTCATACTCTTCTTTGAATGCTGTAAACCGTCTTTTCTCCACTTTGAGTATACTAGCCAGATCACCAATATTACTTTCAAAGGCTAGAAACCGGGCCCAGATTTCTCTGTAAGACAATAAATATAGTCAATACTTCTGGTTTGGGACAGGGAGTCCACTTACAAAAAACTTTTAAGTTCCCTTCCTTTTTTAAAATTATCAAAAGCTCTTTTATTATAAAGAATTCTAAACTATAGACTATTAGGATAGTATAATGAACACCTATATATTATATAGTTTTTAATCATTAATATTTTTGCCAGATTTGCTTCATCTTGTTTTTGCATCAATGTTTAAAAGTATATTATAGACACCATAACACTTTACTCTAAATAATACTGTATTTAAGACATTCTTTGAGTTTTTACTTATTTAGCATACCATCCTATCATTTGTGGTAAGAGAGACATTGACCTTATTTGTGGTAAACTCCAGGTAGAAGAGGTGAAAAAGGAACCTAAAAATAGATGTCCAAGTTCCCTTAAATAATGTGGCTTCACCATTTTGCTTGGTGGCATGAATTATAATGTAGAATATATTCTTCACTCAGGTATGAATAAAAATATATTTCAAAATCTAACATGATTGTTCTTTTTCCAATTAATACAGACTTTGGACAAATTTGTACCTCAGCACTGTTTTAGCACCCAGTATGTAGTCACTAAGATTCTATCTAAATGTCACTGAGCACCTCTGCAGTAACTGAGTGCCTGTTATATACTAGGAATAGGACTATCACAAAACTCCTACCCTGGTAGACATTATTATTACTCAGTGAGAAAATAAGGATTGATAAGGTATGAAATCTTTTCCAAGGTCTAGTTGGCAGAGCTCGAAGTTAAATCTAAGATCCCGCAGCCTTACTACTACTACTGTACCATGTTCTTCTGTAATACTGACAGAATCAAAACCATAACTCAGAAATATAATGTGTTACGCTTTCAATATGCAGAAATCTTTGCTTTTGAGTAAGGGAGGTAAAAATTTCAGAACTCTAATCTGTTCATATCAACATCCAGGCATGTAGTAAACTAGAAATATATATTAAAATATTTAGTAACAAACTGCTAAGACATTTCTCCAGACAATTCTAATCAGTATGCAAAATTTTGTTTTGTCTTGTTCTGCAATATTTAAAACACTCTTAAGTATGAAAGTATTAAAGGCAGGCCCTATGTAAATTAAGCTTCAAGAGAGGAAAAAAATTTCTCCTGAAACTTATACTTAACAAGCAGATTTTCATCCCATAGATCACCATTCAAGTATTAAAGCTGCCAGTAGAAACTGACCAAGTTTTCACAGTGGCTTACCCAGACTTCTCAGGAGGGAGGCTTCCAGATGTTAATACTCGTTCAAACAAAACTCGAGTATTATTGTCCTCTGGGATAATAAAAGATTTTAATTATTAAAAAAGTTCAGTTTTATAATTCAATAGTGTATTTTCACATGCACTATCTCATTTAATCCTCACAAAAATCCTATGTAGATTTTTGTGAACTTTTACAGACAACTTGAGTTCGAAAAGCTTAAGTGAACAGATCTGGCTTGCTGTTGTTGAGTAATAGAGTTGTGACTAGAAGCCAGGTGTTTTTACCTGTGGTTGAGCCCTCCTATAGTATATACTGCAGTTGAAAAGTCAAATACTTTGTAACAATGTGATATCTAGACCAGATATCTCATTTGTCTTTTAAAAATGATGAAAATTACATATCTTCTGATTATAAAGTGTCAGACTGTTGGTATTTTAAAAATAAATTGTGAAGGATGGCAAGCTCAATTTTCTTTTCTTATGGTATCATTGATACACAATCTTATGAAGGTTTCACATGAGCAACATTGTGGTTAATATATTCACCCATATTATCAAGTCCCTCCCCACCCCATTGCAGTCACTGTCCATCAGTATAGTAAGATGCTATAGAGTCACTACTTGTCTTCTCTGTGCTATACTGCCTTCCCTGTGACACCCCTACATTATGTGTACTAATCATAATGCCCCTAATCCTCTTCTCCTTCCATCCCAACCCACCCTCCCCACTCCCTTTCCCTTTGGTAGCCACTAGTCGCTTCTTGGAGTCTGTGAGTCTGCGGCTGTTTTGTTCCTTCAGCTTTGTTTTGTTGTTATACTCCACAAATGAGTGAAATCATTTGGTACTTGTCTTTCTCTGCCTGGGGCAAGCTCAAATTTATATGTAGTTGGGAGGAGAAAAGATAGTGGCATGAAGAGTGTAGCAGAAATCTCCCCAAACCACATATATTTTGAAAATACAGCAAATACAACTATTCCTAAAAGAGTGACCAGAAGTAACTGTACACCAACCACTCTACATCTGGGAGAAGTCAATATCTCATGGAAAAGGGTAAAGTAAAAAGCCACAACCCAGTGGGACACAAGCATTCCCTCCAGTCCAGCTCACTGGTGGGAGGAAGAGAATCAGAGTGGGGAGGGAGTGGAAGCACAGGACTGCTAAATACCCAGCCCTAGAAATCTACCCTGGGAGCACAAATCCACATTGCACAGTGCTCTGGAGATTAGAGGGGCTGAAAACCAGTCAGAGACTAAGACTGTAAACAGGTTCCCACAACCGGATGCCCTGGGACAAAACAAAATCAGGCACTTTAAAAGACTTCTCAAAAGAAGGTGGCTAAAGGGGCAAGGGTTTAGGAGAAGGAACAGGTGGAAAAAATCATCCTGGCACACTCAGCCCAGCAGGTTGGGAACTTACAGGAGCTTCAGATACCTATCCCCCTGGGTGGCTATGCAGCCTCAGGGCCCCTCACCATGCTAAGCAGCCTGCCGCTCCTTCCTCCGTGCTAGCACCTGCATGCAAACCTGCTGTCCTCGCCATTGCTACAGACAAGCCGAAGGCCAGCCCTGCCTACAGCAACTACACAGCTTAATGCAGAGGTTCTCCCTGCACATGGCTAATGGGCTCACACAGTGGAGACAGGCACTGCGGCCAGCAAGAAGGGAGGGACTTTGTCCTCCCAGCTGACACCCACGCCACACGCCTGTGACCACTGTCATCGCTTCAGGACTATGAAAAGGCAGGAGAACCTGGTTCAATCCAAATTCCCTCAAAAACCAGAAAGAGGGCTCGGTGAGACTGAAATCACCAATCTTCCTGAAAAGACTTCAAAATAATAGTCATAAGTATGCTAACAGAGCTACAGAAAAATCTTCAAGAGCTAAGGGATGGATTCAGGAGGGAGAGAACTGAAATGAAACAAACAATGGAGGGATTTAAAAGCAGATTAGATGAGGTAGAGGAGACAGTAAATGAAATGGGAATTAGAGAACAGGAATACAGGGAAGCTCAGGCAGAGAGAGAACAAAGGATCTCTAGGAATGAAAGAATATTAAGAGAACTGTGTGACCAGTCCAAATGGAACAATATTTGCATTATAGGGGTACCAAAAGAAGAAGAGATAGAAAAAGGGATAGAAAGTGTCTTTGAAGAAATAATTGCTGAAAACTTCCCCAACAATAAGACATAATAATTAAAATAGCAAATATCAAGGACAAGGACAGAGTACTAAAAGCAGCCAGAGAGAGAAAAAAAGATCACCTACAAAGGAAAATCTATCAGGCTATCATCAGACTTTTCAACAGAAACCTTACAGGCCAGAAGGATGTGGAATGATATATTCAATGCAATGAAACAGAAGGGCCTCAAACCAAGAGTACTTTACTCAGGAAGATTATCATTTAAATTTGAAGGAGGGATTAAACAATTGCCAGATAAGCAAAAGTTGAGAGAATTTACCTCCCACAAACCATCTCTACAGTGTATTTGAAAGGGAATACTCTAGATGGAAGTGGGCCTAAGGCTAAATAGCTGTCACGAGAGAAAATAAAACCACTGCAAAGGAAGCAGACCAACTACATACTAAGCAAATGCAAAATTAAATCAGCTACCCACAAAGTCAGTCAAGGGATACACAAAGAATACAGAATATGAAACCTAACATATAGAGTGGAGGAGGAAGAAAAAGAAGGGAGAGAAAAAAGAATCTTCAGACTGTGTTTATAATAGCATAATAAGTGAGTTAAGGTACATTGCTAGATAGTAAAGAAACTTCCCGTGCAACTTTGGTAACCACAAATCCAAAGCCTGCAATGGCAATAAGTACATATCTATTGATAATCACCCTAAACATAAATGGACTGAATGCACCAACCAAAAGACACAGAGTTATGGAAAGGATAAAAAAGCAAGACCAATCTATATGCTGCCTACAAGACACTCACTTTAAACCCAAAGACATACACAGACTAAAAGTGAAGGGATGGAAAAAGATACTTCATGCAAAAAATAGGAGAAAAAAGCAGGTGTTGTAGTACTAGCATCAAACAAAATAGACTTCTAAACAAAGAAAGTAACAAGAGACAAGGACATTACATAGTGACAAAGGTGCCAGTCCAACAAGAGGATATAACCATTATAAATATCTATGCACCCATCACAGGAGCACCTACATATGTGAAACAAATACTAACAGAATTAAAGGGAGAAATAGAATGCAATGCATTCATTTTAGGAGACATCAACACTTCACTCACTCCAAAGGACAAGGACAGATCAACCAGATAGAAAATAAGTAAGGAGATGGAGGCACGGAACAACACATTAGACCAGATGGACCTAACAGACATCTATGGAACACTCCACCCAAAAGCAGCAGGATACACATTCTTCTCAAGTGCACATGGAACATTTAACAGAATAGACCACATACTAGGCCACAAAAAGAGCCTCAGCAAATTTTTAAAAAAGATTGAAACTGTACCAACTAACTTCTCAGATCACAAAGGTATGAAACTAGAAATAAATTGCACCAAAAAACCCAAAAAGGCTCACAAACACATGGAAGCTTAACAATATGCTCCTAAATAATAATTGGATCAATGACCAAATTAGAACAGAGATCAAGCAATACACAGAGACAAATGAAACCAACAACTCAACAGCCCAAAACCTGTGGGACACAGCGAAGGCAGTTCTAAGAGGAAAGTATATAGTAATCCAGGCCTATCTAAAGGAGGAAGAACAATCCCAAATGAACAGTCTAAACTCAAAATTATTGAAAATGGAACAAGAAGAACAAATGGGGCCCAAAGTCAGTAGAAGGAAGGACATAATAAAGATCAGCGCAGAAATAAATAAATCTGAGAATAAAACAATAGAAAAAAATTCATGAAACCAAGAGCTTGTTCTTTGAGAAAATAAACAAAATAGATAAACCTCTAGCCAGACTTATCAAGAAAAAAAGAGAGTCTACACACATAAACAGACTCATAAACGAGAAGGAAAAAATCACTATGGACACCACAGAAATACAAAGAATTACTACAGAATACTATGAAAAATTATATGCTAACAAACTGGATAACCTAGAAGAAAGGAATGACTTTCTAGAAAAATACAACCTTCCAAGACAGACCCAGGAAGAAACAGAAAATCTGAACAGACCAGTTACCAGCAATGACATTGAATCAGTAATCAAAAAACTACCCAAGATCAAAATCCCTGGACCACTGATGAATTTTATCATACATTTATAGAAGACATAATACCCATTCTCCTTTAAGTTTTCCAAAAAATAGAAGAGGAGGGAATACTTCCAAACTCATTCTAATTACAAAACCAGGCAAAGGCACCACAAAAAAAGAAAATTACAGACCAATATCCCTGATGAACATAGATGCAAAAATATTCAAATATTAGCAAACTGAACTCAAAAACACATCAAGAGGATCATACATCATGATCAAGTGGGATTGATCCCAGAAATGCAGGGATGGTACATTTAAAAATTCAACATAATCCACTATATCAATAAAAAGGACAAAAATCACATGATCATCTATAGATGCTGAAAAAGCATTTGACAAAGTTCAACACCCATTCATGATAAAAACTCAACAAAATGGGTATAGAGGGCAAGTACCTCAACATAATAAAGGCCATATATGACAAAACCACAGCCAACATAATACTTAACAGTGAAAAGCTGAAAGCTTTTCCTGTAAGATCAGGTACAAGACAAGGATGCCCACTCTCCCCACTTTTATTGAACATAGTACTGGAGGTCCTAGCCACGGCAATCAGACAATACAAAGAAAAGGCATCCATATTGGTAAGAAAGAAGTCTTAAACTGTCACAGTTTGCAGATGACATGATATTGTACATAAAACCCCTAAAGAATCCATTCCAAATCTACTACAACTAATATCTGAATTGAGCAAAGTTGCGGGATACAAAATTAATACACAGAAGTCTGTTGCACTCCTATACTCTTAATAATGAACTAACAGAAAAAGAAATCAGGAAAACAATTCCATTCACAAATGCATCAAAAAGAATAAAATGCCTAG